CAATACTTATAAAAAGAGGATTTTTAATACATTATAAAGTGTCTCAAAGATTATGGACCTAGTATATTTGGGAACGTGTTTGAACTTTTGAAAACTTGAGTAAACAGCTAATACGAGGATCGCCGAGTATTGGCTACTGCTCATAACAAACACGCTAGCTGCGTTGTTCATTCCATGCTAAATAAATTTAGCCGATTCGCCTAGAAACAGTTAAGCTCTGCAAGAGCTCAAATCTCTAAAGAATTTTCTCGTGTTGTTTATTAAGTGCAGGTTAGATGATTCACAGACTTGTGTTAGGGTGTCCCAAAAAATTTCCGCAGGTTCAAGCCTTTCTCTCGAATCAAATTAATTCGCCATCAAGCACTATCGATCGGAACTATATCTCTAGCAATAATTTGTTGTCTACAACCTCTCAAAAAATGGATGCCTTGTTGACGGAAAATGCAGTTTTGAGTTTGAAAAAGAAGTAAGGCGGCAGTTTAGAAATTGGTAAGCTTCTGATATTTTGTTTCCTCGTCTTTATTACCCACAATATAGTTGCTGTTGGACGGGAATAGAAGGTGAGACAAAATTACGGCAACAGTCTGCGACTAGATTTCCTCACTTTCCATGTCGCCCTTTTTCCGTTTTCCTTGTTTCTGCTTGTCAACTGTCAGACTGCCGTCACACTCGGCGACGGACAAGCGATGCGATCGCTCCATCGCTTGTCCGTCACCGAGTGTGACGGCGGTCTCAACCAACTCAATATTTTTCGTAACAGCGATTATCTTTGACCCTCAGACTACGATTTTCAAAAAATAAATATGCCAATGTGCACAGCGACCCCGGCAGCTACTGCTTCTGCTAGTCGATCATCACGTTTAATGTCAGACAGTGAGCTAAATACGCTCTTTTGTGTTCTCAGGGAGAAACACAATTCGACCTAGCTGCAATTCCTTTTTGACCACAAGAGCGATTTCATTTATTGTTTCTGTTCTTGCAACATCGTAGGGTAACCGCGAAACGAGTTGACTTCTACTATGGGTTTCATAAGTGGTACTCGTCCGAGTCTGACATTGATCTCAAGTTGAATAAGTTGCGGTTTTTTGAATTTAGAAACATTCGGAAGCTTTAAAATTTTGGGACACCTTAATACATTTTGGTTTGGCTTAGTTTCTGTCAATAGCATTGCAAGACTGAAATGGTGAAATGGCTACTGAGATGATTTTGCTACAGGACTCACGTTCAACTGGGGTGCACTTCTGGGTTGGTCGGCTATTCAAGGGTCGCTCAGTTCTGCTCCGATTGCCCTCTACCTAGCTGCCCTTCAGTGGACTCTCCTCTACGATACTATTTACGCACATCAGGTTATGCTAACTCCTGTTGGAAGTGTGTTATTCCTCCATTTTGCCCAACGTCTTTGGTTATTCTCTAATACAGTGCTTATTTGTCGTTAATCAAAAGTAAAGAAACCGCCTAATCTGACATCTGAATAGCACATGGCCAATTCACGCTAAGCTTCTTGTGTTGATGCATGGCTGTACACGTGATCATCATAATTGCACATACACGCCCTGTGTCCATCGTTTCGTTCTCGTTGTCCAGTTTTATGAAATGCTGTGTGTAGCGCAGCATGTGGTGCGGGCTTCCCCCTTCGTGTTTCCTTCTTCAGCATGCTCACGTCAAGCACGTCTAAACGATCTTCATTCCAGGACAAAACAGATGGATATCATGATTGGAGTGAAATCTACTGCATTGCGACTTGGAGATAATACAAAGCCGTGGTTGTGTGGTTTTGGCACCGCAGCCATTGCTGGGCTTGGTCTCACTGGATACATTGCAGAACAGACTTGGCCTTATTACTTAGCTCTAGCAGGTTTGTACAGTTTTCTGTAAGTTCGTCCTGACCTGATTTCTAGTGTTGTAGGATTGCACTTATGGTTAGTGCCAGTCTTGTTGCTGTTTTCTTGCAAGCTTTGGAAACAACTGCAATTGTTGACTATGGTTCAAAAGTCGCCGTGACCATTAGTAGTAATCTTGATTCAGGTCATTCGAGCTTCAACTTAGCAATGGCAAATTGGTACTTCAACATACACCCGAGAGTCAAAGACTGTTGAGGAAGTTCAAATCCAACCACCCATGTGGTGTCATCCTTTGCCGAAGTTCTGTACATACCTTAAAGAGGAAAAAAAAGATTCCACATATGTGAAATGTATAGCGACGACGACTCCAATGAATTCTAGATTCTTTGTTGTGAGTTGAAACAATCGTATCGAGTGTAGAAAGTGTGCTGTACTGAGCAGCAGATGAAAAATGTGACAAATTGAGTGATTATAGTCAACAGATGAGGTGATTTGATGTACCTAACTTGAGAAGAACACCTGTAAAACAGAAAGGGCGGGGAGGGGGGGGGGGCGGGTGGGGGGGGGGCGGGAAGAACGGGGGGGCGGGCAAAACAGTACGGTTCAGGAAGAGATCAGTGCGCTTGGATGGCACATAGTCTAGCGACCAGCCCGGAAAGTTGTAGCAGGGACGAAAGCCCTTCGCTGATCCGCATATGACATAATCCAATTTCCTAAATGAGAGTTGTTGAAAAACTGAAAGTCTAGAAATCCAAGCAATTGTTATATCAAAACATGCGAACCTTCATGAACTCCATTTTCACGAACTCTGGTAGAGGAACAGTTTTCGATACACGGAACATGTTTGAGATGATATCCTCAGGAGAGTAGCCCATTCTGAATACCCTCTGAACCTGACCCATGACTGATGATCACTATTACGTTTCATATGAGAGAGTCAATGTGATTGTGGGAGTTTCGTACAGGTCAAACTAAAACTAACTTGTAGAAGTCGTGGACAATCTGGGCAGCCTCTTTGAATTTCTGCTCGGCGCACAGTGAGAGCATGTTTGCCATAGTTGCGGATGTGGTTCATCGCAAACCTGCAGTATGTTTATGCATAGCACCAACAAAGAAACAATACACATTACTAAATTACCATTTAACTACTTTTCAGACAGAAACGTAATATAAGGCAGATACCGTACACTGCAGATTATTCAGTGCCTGAAAACCATGGTCTGTGATGTGAAAATGCTACAATAAAGAAAGTCAGCTACCTGTCGCATATCTCCCTGCGCCGTGAACAGGAGAGCATTGAGCCCTTCGTCATCATAGCTAACCTGAAGCTCATGAAGTATTTGGGTAATCGTGGAATTGGCCGACTAATAAATTCTGACTACTGTGCACCATACGCCGAATTCTATAATAGAAAAATTTATATAGCATATAAAACATGTGGAAAATACGCTATATACACCCTAAAAATAGGAGATTTTAGTGAGAAAATGCGACTTCTACCGAAAGTGGCGCTTAAAACCATTGAAACTTTCTGTTTCCTCCACCGTTATGATTTCTGCCTCTTCAATTCCTGTGCGATTTTGTGCATATCATAGTTTAGTTTATTTATTAGGCATTATTGATATCTAAATGAACTCTTAAAAAAGAACAATCACCTCTACGAGGGGTTTGTCCAATCTATACATGCTGAAAGCAAAAAAAGTTGTTTACAAGCTGTATCGACGACCTGTACTAGCACTATTTCAGCTAACACTATTTTCAAGATTTTCTAGCGCAATAACAGTCGAAAAAAGTATGAGGAGAACGTCTGGTTAACAAAAAAACAACTTCATGTGCTGGGCCTTACCTAAATTACATCATTGCGTGCCACTGTCCTACATCCATATTATAGTAAGAGTCATCGAGTTGGATAGAGGCAAAAGGGTCACTACCGCATAGTCCGAGAAGCAAATTTTGAGCCAGATCTTGCCCAGGCCCAACAAAATTTCGCAGCTGAACAGAGGCTCTTGTAAGTGCCCAATTGCTGCAGCAAATACGCTGAGGAGGAGATAATTTTGTTGAAGAGTCACATGTGAACAGATTATCGAAGTGTTCAATGTTCATGAACAAAAAAAAATCAAAGGTGATGTTAGTAGAAGAGAACGACAAGGAATTCAAAAAAGGATAAAGATTTGGCCGCAAAATTGACCTATAGTTAACTATGTAGGCAGCGCAGGGGTAAGTGTTGTATTTATTTTTAAATAGTGGAATTATCGATGCATATCATTGAACTGTTTCGTTCGTAAAACCAAAATTGCTTTTGTTTTTGTTTTTCGATCTCAATATTGTTATATACACTTTTCTGAGGTGGGGATTCATAAGAATATATCTCCTCCGTTTCGCTAAAAAATAAATAAATCGACAATAAATAACAATAAAAAATAAATAAATTAGTTAAAACGAAAAAAAGTAGAGACACTCCCAGGTGAATCACAAACTCAACACGTTTCGCTTTAACACACTCTATTCAAAGATCTGTGTGCGAGTTGTGCGTCAGTGAGCTTATGAACCCGTCAGACCTTGCACAGCGAGACTGCACGGGTTCTTAATGATGGAATCAAGCACGTTTATATCGACTGTAATTTTTGGTACCCGTACAGCAAAAAACATAAGACTGGTGTCAGAGTCCGCCATCCGTTGCAGGTTTCGCACAAATTGCGAAAATCAGCGAACCTGCGACGGATCACGGACTCTGACACCGGCTAAAACAAGAACTCAAGAGGGAGTGTCAATCTAAAATCAACGGCCCCTCGGACTCAGGACCGAGAACCGCTAGCACCCTGACTAGAGTGGCAAAATGTATAGGTGAACGGCTCGGGGGGTCACTAGTTGTGGCACAAACATAAGAAAGCTCGTAACATAAGAAAGCTCAGCTGGGATATGCAGAAATAAAAGGACAATCACTAGGCACCTAAGTTCATGAGTAGACGAGATAAAGAAGACAAGTTATTGGAACGAGCGGGTAGCGAAGACAGACGGGTTTGTTGCCTACAAAAAACGTATTCTTTCTTCAGTTGATTGGAAGATTCCGATTGAACTAGAGACAAATAGAGAGCGGAATAGGATAAATAAAAAAAGTGGGTAAGAGATGTAAAGGGATCTTGTGTTTCACGAATTAATGCCTTGATAACAACACCAAGAAGACCGGCAGACAAACCGTACCAATAATTTTATCAGACTGATTGCAGGCCAGAGCGAAACGTGTTGTTTCACTATAGTTCTCCATTATACGCCGCAAAGCCTAAAGAATAAAGATAACCACAAAAATCTGGATGAAATAACCACGCGGAGTTCCGGTACCTGTTGCGCTCCCTCGGTCATTGAATCAGCCTCGTCGAGGATTATTAGTTTTTGGCGCTTAGGAGGAAGAGTGACTTTCGTTTGACAGAATGACTTTATTTTGTTTCGCACAACATCAATACCTCTGAAAACAACGTCTGCTAACATTATCTCTCAGTTGTTACACAGCTCTTGAAGGACTTCCACTAAGATTCTTTCTACAAGTTATTGAATATAGAACCAAACCTGGTGCTTCCTCTGAGTTTGTTCAACCATGTAGAATAGAATTGGGCTGAGTTAAATTGCAAAAAGAAAAACCTTGCTGCCCATTCCGAACAGGTTCAAATCTATGAGCAGCAACCAAGCCTGTGCCTCCAAAAGGTGGAGCGCACTGTCTCACGAGAGAGAAAGATGTCGCCATGTCCCAAGGTCATCGGCTTCATGTTCTTAGATTCTGTGAAGGAGCGGGAACTCTAAGCTTGGTCAACCAGGGCATTCCTACACGGTACATCACGATTCTACACGAGCTCTACAGCAAGCTGCAGCCAGTATTGCGCCCTTTTACAAAAGTACTGCTGGTGAAGTGAAGAGAGCGATTAGACAGGGCGCACTACCTTACCGATATTTCAGCGCCGGCTCGCGAAGACGTCATGCGTCATTTGGAATAGGGAGAGTTGGAAGTGGAGGTTGATGACCAGCAACTATTCAGCTCCGCTTAATTGGCGACTCCGTGGACACCCGTACGTTCCATCCGTTGAACTTAGTAGAGAGAATGCTAGCCGATTCCTTCAGCGCGTGTGAAAGCTCGGTTTGCAGCTGATCCCAACGAAGATGTTTATGGAGAACGGAGGATCCCTGATGACCAATTCGATTCCGTCGTCATCCATTCCACGAACTGAACGCCTCCGTTTGCTTCAGCTGCGTGCATTTAGGTCGGAAAACCAATACGATTAACGACTTACTGTTGGCTGCAGAACCGAGCAGGAGTGAACGTATGATGAACGACCTAGCTCCAGAGCTGAGCAGGAGGAAACGAGCGGCATGGGGAGCATTTAAGAACATCGAGGGAGTAGTGAAGAAGACGAAGAACATCCGGCTCCGTGCCCACCTCTTCGATTCCGCTGTCCTTCCTGCCCTTAACCTACGCCTCTTAGACTTAGACTCTGCATGGTCAAGATGAGCGTTTCGTCAGCCTTATACAGCAGAGGCTATATCGAAAGCAGTGTTTCAGAGCTCCCGATGGATGGAAATGCGGAAGAGAAGCATAGTGACGCCCACCGTTAACGTAGAAGATCAGAAATGTTGCTGTTCTCCAAGGTCTCGACAACCACATAGGCAGACCTGTCATGCGAATTTGTGGTGAAGAACTGGGCGACTACCAGAATGGTTACCGACTGAGCCCCTCTGGAAGTCGAAGCGACACCAGAAATAGCAACGACTCAACGATCATTTTCCTTCATGCACGCTCTTAACAGAAAGAATGAGAAGCTTCGTGTCCCTCAAAACGTAAAGGATCCACTGGAGTCTCATGTACGCAGAAAGATGGATGGAGTCGTTGTTGACGCTCGCGAGTACGATCATTGAGCAACAAGACGAAAGGTGATGTGGTGGTGTTGCGAATCGTTAAAAAAACAATTAAAGTACAGCTTCCATACATCACTCCACTGCATTAGCATACATAATTAAGGAACCATATCGACATTACACTAGCAAGATCGATACTTCCTCGTCACATGGGAGCGCTGAGAGGCAGTGCGACGTGTAGAGGCACCATGACTGCTTGCTTTTAAATAAAACTCACATACACTCGATATCCGAAAGTTGGGGTAGGCGTGTCACCGGAAGTGACGTGCACTTGATAGAAGCTATGTGGATAAGCTGCTTCCAACATACATCGCTGGATATCAGCAAAGCATGCTGGCAACAGCTTATCCACGCAACTTCTATCAAGTGCACGTCACTTCCGGTGACACACCCACCCCAACTTTCGGATATCGACTGTACAACCTGATACGCAGTTGCCTTACCGGTCATCTGAAGCATTCAGTTCGAGCACGCCGTTCTTCACATACTCTCCAAGTGACTCCCTCGCCATCGCCCAAATAGCAGTCGTTTTTCCACAGCCTGGTGGACCCTACAGTACCTTTTTTCAATA